TATATATATATGTATATATATATATATCAGGGGTGAAAATGACAAATAGTAATTATATATATTTATCTACTTTAATTATTTATTCGCAGTTTTATGCGCGTGCGTGCGTTTTAACAGCAACAGCAACAGCAACAGCAACAGCAACAGCAACAGCAGCATCAACAGCAACAGCTACAGCAGCATCAACAGCAACAGCTACAGCAACAGCAACAGCAACAGCAACAGCAGCAATCAGCACCGCGCAGGCGCTATTCCACAACGGCAGAGGGCCTCGGGCCAAATTGGCCCCACGGGTAAAATGCATAACCTTTCTATTATGCACTTAATACTCTTGAATTCTACTAGACTCATTTTTCAACGCAACAGCCAGCCAGCCAGCCGGTCGCGGCGAAAACTCCGAGAGAGAGAGACCGAGAAAAAAAAGCGTTTTCAGTTTAGTCGTAATCATCGGCCATTTATCATAATTATTCACACTTGATTAAGCCGGCGTGGCAGGCAAATTGTGTAAGTCGTCACGGACCAATCAGGAGGCAGCGAACGAGCGCGGCGCTCGTGCGCACGCGCGGCATCGCCGCCGCCGACACCTCCTCTCCAATCATTTTCGCGTTTACCGAAATGACGTCAGCGTGTCGGAGCAATTTGTGACACACCGCGAACGCCGAGTGGAGCGTAATTTGAGAAAGACGGATGGCGGACTGGCGCGCCCACCCCACGACTTAAACAGCAGCACCATATCCCTGATGCCAGCGCGGCTTGTTGGTTCTCGGTTCCCACGTCGGCACAGTCGGGCAGCAGCAGCAGCAGCAGCAGACGAAACCTGCATCACACAGCAGACGAACATGATGCAGCGGTCGGCGTACTCTTCGTTTTCCATAGACAACCTCATCGCTAGTCCTCCGCCGCCGCCGTCGCCGGCAGCAGCAGCAGCGGCAGCAGCAGCAGCAGCTAGAATGCCTCTACTCTACAGCGGATACATGTTCCTACATCGTCCAGCCTTCCAGCAACCAGACTCGGCACTACTCGCCGTCGTTCCCCCGCCGACGTCGTCGTCGGCGTTTAGCGTCGCCAGCGGGGCGCTGCCGACGTCCATGTACACGCCGCCGACGTACGCGATGCCGTCGTCGCTCGGACGCGTCGGCTACGGCGACGGGTCGTCGTCGTTTACGCCCGTGCCGTGCCGTGAGGAGCTGCCGACGCAGCGACGGTCGCCAGGATCTAGTCCGATATTGTCGTCGTCGAGGACGCATCATCGCGACGCGATCGCGGCGAACTTGAAAGGTAAGCTGTTCTTCATCGTCATCGTCTTCATCGTTGTCAGTTGTTATTGTAGTTGATGTTGTTATTGTTTTTGTCGTTGCTGTTATTGTTGTTGTTGTAGTTGTTGTTGTTGTTGTTGTTGTTTTTGTTGTCATCGTCGTTATTGTTTTTGTCGTTGTTGTTGTAGTTGTTGTTGTAGTTGTTGTTGTTGTTGTTGTTGTTGTTGTTTTCGTTGTCATCGTCGTTATTGTTTTTGTTGTTGTTGTCGTTGTTGTCGTTGTTGTTGTTGTTGTTGTTGTTGTTGTTTTCGTTGTCGTCGTCGTTATTGTTTTTAATTGTTGTCATCGTCGTTATTGTTTTTGCTGTTGATAATGATGTTGCGGATATCGTCGTGCTCGCTGTTGCTGCTGTTATTGTATTTGTAATTGTTTTTATTGTTGTGCTTATTGTATATGTTTTTGTTATTGTTTTTGTGTTGTTGTCGTTGTTTTCGTTAGCAGGACACGATGCACGATGCACGTGCCTGTGTTTGTTTTCGTTATTTCGTAGATGCACGCACAAGGAAAATAGATGGAAGCGTGAGTGAGATGAGAAAGGGAGTGATGTATGAGAGAGGGCAGAAGGGTGAAGTATACTGACGGGTAGACTGTGGGACAAAAACGGAGAGAGAACGAAGGAATGGGACAGAGAGAGAGAGAGAGAGAGAGAGAGAGAGCGAGAGAGAGAGAGAGAGAGAGAGAGAGAGAGAGAGAGAGAGAGAGAACACAGAGAGAAAGGAAATAGAAAGAAATAGACAGCAAGATACGAACACAGACAGACTGAGAGGTTACTAAACAGTCAAGCACTCAGGCAGTCGGCCAGAAAAACAGACGTATCAGTACCTAACAGCGGATAGACATTGGAGTACACCGGGAGACGGTTGTACGTGCGGAAAGTCAANCTCTCAATCTCTCTAGTCATCTCCTCTCTCGGTCTCTCATCTCTCTCTCTCTAGCTCAGATCTCTCCACAACAACACACACACACACACACAGCCACACATACCACAGCACACACACACACACACACACGTTGCGCGCAAGCGCGCCCACGTCCTCTCTCTTTCTCATCTCCGTCTCATCTCATCTCCAACATCTCTCCTCTCTCTCTCTCTCTCTACTTCTCTATCGTCTTACTCCTCTCTATCTATCTCTCCTCATCTATCTCTATCTCATCTCTCTCTCATCGGTCCTCTATCTTCCTCTCTCCCTCCTCTCCTCTTCTGCCTCTCTTTCTCTCTCATCCTCTCTTCTTCTCTCTCTCTACTCCTGCTCATCTGTGCTGTGTGAGTGTGTTGTGTAGTGGTGTGTGTGTGTGTGTGTGTTGTGTAGTGTGTGTGTAGTGTGTGTGATGTGTGATGTGAGTAGTGTGTGTGTGTGTGTGTGTGTGTGTGTGTGTGTGTGTGTTGTGTGTGTGTGCGTGTGTGTGTGTGTGTGTCATGTTGGGTCTATCGTCTGTCTCACGCGTCAGTCTCTTTCACTGTTCGTGAGGTCTCTGTTCATTTTATCTGTGTCTGGTCCGTACTGCCTCTTTCACGTCCTTCTACGTCTCTCCTGTCGTACACCTCATCTCTCTTCTCTCTCTCTCAGTTCTCTCTCTCTCAGTCTCTCTCTCGATCTCTGCGCTCTCCTTCATTTCTCATCGATCTCATCATCTTGCTCCTCTCGTCTCTCTCTCTACTCCTCTCTGCGTCTACTCTTACGAAGTGTTGCTGTGCGCGCAGTAAACGATAAACTAGTTTGGCCACCGCACCACTGCACAGCCCACTCACCGCACGCACACACTAACAGCGCACGCACGCACTCAACAGCACCGCACAATGGCACACAGTGACACACGCTGCACACCCGCCTAGGCACTTTAGGAGGGTCCCTACGGCGGCAGGCACACACTTACGACAGCGCAGGCAGAGCGGGCAGGCGGCGGTTAAGATTTATAGTAACAGAGCTGATGGCCATCGCTGACTGTAGCAAGATTGTATGCCGCGACCAGATAATTGAACGCACACGCCGGCGATTATGGCACCGCTTTGTGGAATTGAGCTGGCCAGCAGAATAAATCTCGTATCAAGACCCGCGGCCCGAACTCTCACAACCATTAGACACCACACACAAGACGAACACACACATAGGCCACACACCCGCATAGGCGACCAGGCCCATAGACAGAACACATATAGACACACAAACAACACACGCGCATACCACAGCACACCAAGCGCGCAGGCGCACACGGACGACAAAAGAAGAGACACACACACACACACACAGAGCGAGCGAGAGAGAGAGATAGAGAGAAAGAGAGACACACACACACAGAGCGAGCGAGAGAGGGACAGAGAGAGAAAGAGAGAGGTGTACGTGAATGATTTCTAACGCCCGCGGCGGCGCGCAGCCGCTCATAAATCATCCAGTGTCGTTACTAGTAGTTGTTTTTTTCTCTCCCAATTCTCTATGTGCAGACACCGCCGCCGCCGCCGCCGCCGCCGCAGCAGCAGCAGCAGCACCTCTGGTCACCGACGCACCACGACTCTACGACAGCGCGAGTCCAGACATGGACGCCAGCGACGCCAGCGACAGCGACGGCGAGCTCGGAAAAACCGACACATCGGAGAACGACGGAGCCGGAGGAGGAGGAAGCAACGGAGGAGGAGGGGGAGGGGGAGGGGGAGGGGGAGGATCAAAGGCGGGGAAGACGCGGCGACGGCGCACGGCGTTCACAAGCGAACAGCTACTCGAACTCGAGAAAGAATTCCACCTGAAGAAGTACCTGTCCCTCACCGAGCGCTCGCAGATCGCGCATGCGCTCAAGCTGAGCGAGGTGCAGGTGAAAATCTGGTTCCAGAACCGCCGCGCGAAATGGAAGCGGGTGAAGGCGGGTAACGCGAACGGACGCAGCGGCGGCGGCAGCGGCGGCTCGCAGACGGCGAGTAAGATCGTCGTGCCGATACCCGTGCACGTGAACCGCTTCGCCATCCGCAGCCAGCATCAGCAGATGGAGAAGTCCGCCAAGCAGCCGCTCAGCTGAAGTCATGCAGCGGCGGCGACGACGACGACGACGATGTTCGCTGATGCCCCGCGGCGATGGCGACGTTGACGATTGCCATGCGGTGATGGCGACGTTGACGATGGTCGGTGACGCCCCGCGGCCGATCTCGCGAGTTCTCGCGTGACGAGTGGCTCTTCGCAGCAGACGACTCTTACTCTGGACGGCCTCACTGAGAGAGAGAGAGAATGAGAGAGAGAGAGGGAGAGAGAGAGAAAGAGGGAGAGAGAGAGAGAGAAAAAGAGAGAGAGGGAGAGAAAGAGAGAGACAGAGACGGATAGAGAGAGAGATGGGGAGAGAGAGCTGTTTCTCTCTCTCCCCTCCCCTCCCCCTCCCTCCTGGCGCTGCCTGCAGAAGAAACCCTCTCATCGCATCGTCACGCATCCGTGTCAAGACGAGGTCTGAACAATCTTTCTACGTGCGTACGTGCTCGCGTGCGTGCGTGCACGTGTATGTAAGTTTGTACAAAGTTTACCAGCCAGTCCTGCAGAGTCTGGGAGGCGAAGACTAGTCCCAGGTATGCGCGTGTGTTTTCTAAGCTCGAGTTAGCGCGAGTTCAGCTAGCCTGCATGTCGTTAGATGCTGGAGTGTTGTTGTGAAAGAGATATGTCGGACTCTCTCACTGCGTAGTAGCAATGTGCCATATCGTCATTACATGTGTGTCTTCAATCAATCAACACAATCTCAACTGCATCGTATATATATACATATATATACATATATATATATATATATATATATATATATATATATATACTACTA